AGTATGAGAGTAAAATTAGTTCTTTGGATATTTTTAGTAATAATGTATCTGATTCTCTAATTACCTCCTTCCTTGTAGGAAAACGCTACAGTGAGCGTATTTATATTTCCATTGCTCTATTGCTCATTTATGCCCAGTGGAATTAAAGCTTGAGTAGCATCTTAGTCAGCATTAGAAGTTCAGGTCTTAGTTATTGTTCTAGTTTTGGTATTTCGTTGGGGCAGGACACATGAAAAAAAACATAATATAGAATAGAAGAATCTGGTACTATCACTTGAAGGCAAAATACCAATTCCACAGTGGGATATTGTGTTTGTGTTTTGGAGTGCAGTACAGCTCTCAAACAGCTTACACAATGAAAAAGGGAGTGCCTGGTCTTGCATGACAACTCATACTGTGGGACATGCATTCAAATTTAACTTTGTAAGACAATTTCTTTTAAAATAAAACTTATTTAGTTCAGTATCTGACATATCATGATGCTAATTTTCATTATCAAGCATGTTTTTATCTCTCTGTCCTCAAACAGTGATTACTGCTGCTTTTGTTTTTATTAATTCCCAAATTAGTTAATAGTTTTTCTATGCCTTGCTAAATAACCCTTACCAACATTTTACCTTTTGTATTTTTATATGATAGAGCTGATATTACATTTCTGCTACTTCTAAAGCATTGAATGGATCGAATGCTTTAATTTCTTTATCTTTCTTCTTTCTGAAAATTCCTGTAGAGACGTACAAAAAGATCAGTGGAGCAGGATAAAAGCTGCTTTCTAATCTAAGGTAGTTCCCTTAAGGGGACGTTTACTGGAGCAAAACTTTGAGTCTCTGACTTGTCATTCTACTCATAGTGTTTTTAGTTTTGAATTGTCATTTTTCCTGGAAAAATTCTGACTTCAAATGTGGGACTTTTGTTTTCTGAGCTGAGAAGTTCTATGAGTGGTTCAGGAACCTAGGAATATCTAAAAGTTCTTCAAAAGTTCCTAAGTTCTCTTGTTAAAATATTGAACGATATAATGTCATTAATGTTTGTGTAGTATAAAACTGTTATTATTACTGTTGGTAATAATTAATAACCAAGACATTTTGATACAGATAAACTAAGATGTACTGACGAAGTTAAGGGAAAAACCAAAAAAGCATAATATGCAATTTAGCTGCTTCAGCTCACAGATGTTTATTTCTGTGTCTAAAATTCACCCATCAATTCAGTAAAAATTCATGACATTTTCTGATTCTTGCTTGGAAATTTCCCAGAGCCCTGCTCCTTGGTATTATATCTGCCCAGAAGTACTTTCTTCAGAAAAATGAAGTTTTAGTTTCTTGCTTGTGCCATGTTAAATTTGTAGAGGTACTTAAACCTCAAGTTCTTCATCTTTTGCTATGCATTGGTCTTGATTGTGAATTAGCTCATGGAAAAATATGTGAAACGGCTGCTTTCTTTTTAAAAGACATGAGGAAACTGGAAGAGTGCTTTCCTCTTTGACTCATTAGAGTCATTGCTGAGAAATGGGACATGGAGCTATGCTACCCTCCTCAGCCTGAGGGAGTTAAACCTCAATCCCTGTGTCTTCAGACAGTGTTCGAACTACTTACTCCTGAGTTTAGTGGTGTAGACCACACCCCTAACTCTGCACTGCAAGAGTTAATCAGCCTTGCCCTCTTTGCTTCATAAACATCCAGCTTTGGCAGGCAGGTACCTAGCACCCAGGAGGCTGCCCTGCATGGTGGGAAATGCAGGCTTGGGAGCTCTCTCTGAAGAGGAAACTCTATCTCCATCAGCCTCTGGCTGTTCTAATTGGTAAGATAGTGTTACAGAAGAGTCTATCCACACCTTCTAAAAGCTGATTCTTCCTTATTTATCCTATCTAGGGAATAGATTTTAGTTTCTGAATTCCAAAAGAATGACATTTTCACTATCCCAGTCAGACCCTAAATATGTAGGGAGACATGGGTTTAGGGGCACATCCTTTTGATTTTAGTACTGTGTGCTAGATACAGATGAGTGACTTTCATTTTTAGCCTTTGAGACTTTTTAGATTGCTTCAGTATCATCTGTCTAGCTCTTCACTTTCCAAGACACCTATCTCTGGTTTTTACATTTTGCTCTGGAGCACAGTGACCTACAAGACAAGAAAATGGCCTATAAAAATCTTTGCAGTATGGAGCATGATTTTTGATTAAGACATAAAGGCAAACAGAAAGCAAACATGGTAGTCGATGGTTGATTTTCAGAAGTAAATTATGATGAGTGAGAAAGAAATTGATAACTCATTCTAAGAATAAACTGATAATGCTGCTGAGAAAAAGATGTAATAGCCTGTAAGTGCAAACAGAATAAAATAAATACATATATTATTTGTGTAGAACTATTTGCTATGTTTAATAAGGAGAGAAGAAGGTGCTAGTTTTGCAATTATGATGCTGCTTTTGTTCCCCTTAATACAGAAGGATAAAGTTTAGAGTTTATGGTGGGAGATGAATTTTAATATGTTCTCCAAAGGCTAATAGTGTGGACCTAGTGGGATTCCTACAGAATAGCATCAGTGTGAATGCAAGAAGAATTGGTTTATGCATTGGTGGAGCTACTGGTGGAACTTTGGTTCCCACAAAAATAAAACTTCCCTTTGAAGTAAGTGTGACAGAGTAGGTAGGAAAGCTGTCAGTAACAGTTTCTGTATGCTTTCTTGAGGAGAAAGGGGTTTTGGAGGGTGGTGTCCACCATAAATGCTTACTTTCTTACTACTTGGGAGGGAAAGGGAGTGAGAAGATGACAGTTGAAGGTTTGACAGGTATTTGTGAATTGTTATGCTTACTTTTCGCAAGAAAAATCGCTGATTTACATTTCCCAGGTATTACTTGGGAAGCATAAGAAATGAAGGGATTCCCCAGCCTAATTGTTCTTCTGAACTTTAGGTCACCATCTGAGTCTGGATCAGAAATCAGATCTTGGGAATGTACAACTTTCATCATGCTGACTTTTTTCTAGCCTTGGTCACTGAAAAATTTAGTCATTGAAAGAGAGCTGCAAGGACAGTTCCAGCTCTCCACTGACAAAGCTTCTGGTTTAAATACTGTCAAGTGGAGGTTGTGATGGTACATCTTCTCTTTGAGAGTTGTGTCTGCTCCACCACAAAACCACAGCCTTCTTGCTCTGCTTATAGTGAGACCTTCTCAAAATAACAGCAGCATGTATGTGTATGTAGATATGCATATGCTTGTATAGACTCAATAGAGAAAAAAATAATCCAGATAGCTTTCAAATACAGTCTGATACCATTCATGTCAAAGACCAGTTGGAAGCTATACAGGCATGATACAGTCTTTCTCATCAAACTTGAACCGTATCTAGAAGAAGGCAAATGACTCCACTCTCTTCTCAAACTGGTTAAAAAATACTGAGATCAGCTCAGGTGGACAGAGCATGGAGTTAGTAACACCGAGGTTGTGGGTTTGAACCCGGTATGGGCCATTCACTTAAGAGTTGGACTCGGTGATCCGTGTGGGTCCCTTCCAACTCAGAATATTCTGTTAAAAATACACCTTCAGTAAAAAGAAATTATTTTTTATTTTTGCTTTTAATTTAGGGAAATGTTAAATGGTGGTTAGTTCTGAATCTGAGATGGCTCCAATTCATCATTTGCTTGCTCAGGTTTCAATAAGTGGCCTTTCTCAGCATTAACTGCTCAGACCTTAGTCTTTGGGCTTTTTATGCCAATATCTGCAATATCTTCACTCAGTTGGCTCATTGGGAAAACAGAGATTGCTGGTGTGAACATCTGATTAGCAGCACATAGGCTGGCAGCTAGATTTTTAAAAATGTCAAAAAGGAAAAGGGAAGGGGACTGTGTCTTTAACCCCCAGCAGCTCCCTTATTAGGTTCAGTCATGACTGACTAGGCCAGCAGAGGGAAGGGAACTGGTGGGATAGAAATTAAGGGCTTGAAGGAGGTGGTGAACTCCCTTGTTTTGATACCTGATTTCCACTTTATGCCACAGTGGAGTGGTCATATAATTACAGGCTCCAGCTCTTATTTTAGTATGGATGAATCACCTCCTGGATACACTCACCTCTTTCATGTCCCTCATGCTTTTATTTTTGCTAATCCCAAACAATACAGGAGCTCTCTGAAATGTCTAGCAACACCTCTCTGCCATCGTCCTCACAAAACTGGCAGCAGCTAGGCAGATGCTGAGTTGGGACTGCCCCATCTTGCATGAATCATTTTACATCATCTCCCTATGTCTTTTGGTGATTTCTGCCTCCAGAATATTGGTACTTGTTGAGAAATATGTAATCCGAGGCAGGCGAGTTTCATGTGCTTCTACAGGACATAGGGAAACCAACAGTTGGGAGCAGGGCAGGATTTCCACGGGCTGTTCATTGCACAAATTGTAAGCTTGTGTTATTTTACTACGTTAGCTTGACAAGTTTTTCTCCTTATGAGGTAGATTATATGTACAAAATATTTATCAGTTCCTCAGCGATTTCTAGTACTGACAGATGTTCTGTTTCTACAGTTTTGTACATGTACTTTGCCAGGCATTAGCTTCTGATTAACTAAAGCTGCATGTGCTACCTTTTCATGCAGCTGGGACACATGTTTTATTTCACATATTTTAATTCTGTTGTGTTTTACTTGTTGTATGGCACTATGGCTTTTCCTTTGTCTTCCATCATTCAACCTTGCAAATTCGCCATGCAAATTCAGCAACCCAGGCACAAAATATACTTATCTGTTCTTACATAACTGGTCACAATCAAAGATCTGATAATGCTTTACTTGCCCACCACAAATTTTCTTCTCAAGGAGTTTTGTGTAGCATTTTGTGGGGTCATAAACACGGTGTTTTTATTGGTGCCTTTCAAACAAGCTCTATTTCAAATGACAGATTTGCCAAGTAAAATCTTAGTTGAGCATGGAATGAGAAACTTGGAAATATGAACTGAAAACTCAAGATTTTTCTGCCATAACCCTTTCTTGTACTTTCTTCCTTTTAGTTGCTGATATGTGTTCAAGATGAGTGGGATGGGAGAAAATACCTCTGACCCATCCAGAGCAGAGTCAAGAAAGCGCAAGGATCCCGATCAGGTTGGACCCAGGTTAGACCATTTCCTTCTGGAAATATTTGAGAGAATGAGTTAAAAAAAGTTACATGTGCTTCTGTTTTTCAGTTAGATGGCAAACAACATTCTTGCAAAGAGAAGTCAGTGCCAAACTACTTTATTGCAGTAATTCTGTGTTGTTGGGGGTTTGGGATGGGGATGAGAACAATTATTCTTTATTATTATTTATTTTTGAATCCAGTGTTGTGCCATAATGCAGAATTTTGGTGACAATTTAGGAGACATGTAAAAATGGTTTTTGGCTTTCACTGCATAAAGTCTTCAGTCACTCATTTTGTCAATCTGAGATTTTTTTTTAACACCTCTGTTGTCCATTATAGTCTAGGTCTTGAAAAATATTTTCCAGCTTTACAGCAGTTCTGTTACCAACACAAATGCATTTCAAAGCATAACCACTCATTCATCATCTTTTCTTAAGACTGCCATAAATTCACAAGGCAGCAGGGAGTATGGATTGCTTAGTGTAACTATTTAAGCTGTTTTATTTTCTCATACACAATCACTGTATAATACTCTTTGGATTCTCAATGCCATGTGGGAGGGATACTCGTAAATATTCAAATCCTGCTCCCCTCCCCCTCCAATAATCTTGTGTTTTCAATTTCTAATCCCAATCCTCTTTTGAAACAAAAACATGACTGCTGGAAAAAAAATAAGTAACATTTTTTCTAATGCTCCTTTCCTTGTTCCAGAGGAAACCTTTTTCTGAGAAACTTGTAAATTATATTTTGGTAGTGAGAGAGGGCAGTTCTCTCTCTGTTTTTGTTAAACTACTGTCTAACCTTTTGAAATCGTCTTTGAGCTGGCCAGAAGGCAAGTAAACTGACATTAAAGACAGTATTTTTATAAACTCCTCTTTCAGCCCTAAAAGAAGCACTGAGAAACGCAATCGTGAGCAAGAGAATAAATACATTGAAGAACTTGCAGAGCTGATTTTTGCAAATTTTAATGATATTGACAACTTTAACTTTAAACCTGACAAATGTGCAATCTTGAAAGAAACTGTGAAGCAAATTCGTCAGATAAAAGAACAAGGTAAGAAGACTAATTACCGTTGAATATTTTGTGTTGATTGTTATTTTGGTTTTGGCTAACCTGATCGTCTCTTTAGCCTTTCTTTAGCAAATTCCCATATTTTCCATTAACCAGTAAGGAATAATGCTGTAAAGTCATGTGAATAGAGTGTATTAAGTATCATATTCAGTGTTTTTAAAATAAGCTTCACTGAAAATTGTTTAGAGAGAGAGAAAATTGATCAGTCTTGATGTGTGTATCTAATGGAATTGAAATCACTTGCGCTTTCACAAAAGTTAAACTAGCAGATGGCTTTGGGAAAAAAAAACACATACTCTTACATGGGTGATGAATCCATGCAGAAGAGAAATAATCCAGGAGAGTGAGGTATGTAAGTGTTCTGCATACTCGTTTTGCTTTCTTTTGTTGGTATGAATAGATATTGTGGACTAAATTATCTGCGTCCTTTAAATGATGACATCATATCCTCGACTACAATAGATTTGAAACTATTCTAATCTCTAGATAGGGTCCTGTTATAAATGTAGACCGCAGAACGTGACAGTTTTCTTCCTGTTCTTTGTCTAGAAGATTAGTTTTGTATTTCTTTTCTTTTGATATATTTCCTATTCAAAGAGAAAACCCAAATCTTCTAGAAGCTTTAAATTTTTTGGAAGTGGGTTTTGTGGCACAGGTATGTCTAGGCAGGCACACTGCAGGTGTTTGGGACAGATTCAAATTCTTAAAGTGGGTGCATATAGTTTTAATGTAGAAGATTTATATCTCTTTGTAAACTATGTTGAGAGTGATTCCTTTGATTTTCAAACACTTTAAACATCTTTCATTTTTTCACTTTTCTGTGGGAGAATAATTCTTCCTTTTCCACAGTGGGTGTGTAAAATTATAAGAGTGGCGACTGCATGTTTCATATATATTTATCTAAATATATAAGTATATAAGTAGATCTGCAGTTTCAGACATCAGTCTGTTCAAAGCTAAATGAAAAGTGGAAAGAGTCAGATTGTGTCAGCTGTGTCCAAAGTGGCTCTAACTGATTAATCTTAGGGAGTGTTCCCATTTCTCAGCTTGTTCTCTTCTTTTTGCTGTTAGGTTGCTATGATTTTTAAAGTGGATATTCTAGTGATGTTGCCATGCCCTATATTAGAAGTATACTTGTTAACCTGACACAGTGTCTATCATTGTTGTGCACCTTTTTGACTTCTGAGATTTTTTTCCCTTATTTTCTTCATCGTTCTCTCAAATTGATTTTTAATTATTTTTTTTCTGTCACCAAGCAACACATACTCCTTATCTTTACCTGAGAAAAGGACAAAAAATTACCTTTTCCTGGGAAGCAGGTGCACAAAGGAAAATCTGCTAGTCCATTTTGGTAATTCTGTCAGCAGTTCTAGAAAATCTAGTCTGAAAATTTGGCTCTTACTCATGATAACTTTGTCAAGTCCAGGACCAATACCACAACAACAGTTTTCATATTGTTATAAAATATTCACACTCACCAGACCAGGTTATATGTAAATATTGAAATCATCTTGGGCCAGAATTGTGGCAAAGCTGAATGTGCAGTTATTTTTTTAAGGTCATGAAGTCTTACTGCAAAAACAACTGAATATACAGTTCTAAAGACAGACTAAACCGCTGTGAGCACTGTTTATTTCAACAAGTAGCAGTAGTTTGCAACCCTTAAGCAATAAAGACACTAAATTGCTCTTTTTGATGTTGATTTGTTACACAAGGTTCTTCAGTTGAGGACAATTAGATGGTCTGGTAACTGGCTATTTGCATAAAACTCACAGCTGGTACAGACTGACTTTAGGCCTCTTTAAGGGGCACTGCAAAACACTGAGACCTTTAAGGTGATCATTTATAGCATCTCAGGGTCTAGACATAAAGATCAGAATACTTGAAATTCCTTTGAGCTGATAAAGGTTTGATACCTATTCCTACATAGAAGATGTTTCTGTTTGTTGTAACAGCAAATTTAAAAGGCTTTTTCCTTTTAAGAAAAAATCAAATGTCAGCATACTCTGAAATGCAGTATTATTTTGGAGCAGGCATTTCATTAACAAAAATGTCTCACGTATATTAAACGTCCATATTGCACAAACAGTACAGTATACCTGTACTTTTGTTGAGTGCCACAAAAAACATGACATAATAATGCAAACAGGTTGAAGACCTAGTGAGGCTATTACTGTTGCTCTCTCATGTTTTATAGGTAGTTTATCACCTCACATTGGGAATCCTGCACTTAGATATGCTCATCATTTAAATGTATTAACTTGTAGGTTGTTCCTGATCTTTCTGATTGGTTTTTCACTGTCAAGACCTGTTAGAACACCTTGACAACAGTCAAAAACTTGCATTATCTATTTCTAAAACAAAAGTCATTGAAATAATGCTATACTTGGATGAAGTGCCATGAGACTCAGGTTAAAAATAATATTTTAATACAGTTGTTTTGTTGATTTTTAGTGTTATGCAGAATACTTGTAGGACAAAACTAAATGAACATCCTGAAACTCTTCAGTGATTGTACACTGACACAGAAGAATTTAGATGGCTTAGTGGTCACACAGTGGGTCTGCTCTGCTTTTCTTCCAAAGCAGATTAGATTAAATCAGTGAGAACTTAATTTGCAGTTTTATTGTTTAGAAGTTTTAGTAAAGAGATTATTTCTTTGAAATAAATACTAAAAATTCAAATTGCACCTGAAGGTCTAATTACTTTCAAAAGCACAGTCAGTTATAAATACCTTGTAAAGCCACTGAAAGCAACAAGTTTTATCGCTGCTGCTGAGATTTGTCAAAGAAACTTTATTTGAGGTTCTAGGAATGAGAACAAGGAAGGATGAAATGCAGATTGATATTGTTTCCCATGTCAAGCTAACTGGGCTGGTAGCTGAAAAATGTAATAGATCTTCTGCTTTAATAATACTATATAATTTAGTATAATGTTATCCTGATCTATTTTATATGCAAATATATACTTGAAATACTTTATCTGTTATCTTTATATCGTTTCTCACAGTATGTACTTCAAAGTTGCCTAAGTTGTGGTATGTTAGAGATTCTGTTTATTACAATTTGAAGGCAAGTTATAAATGCATGTGTAAAGCTGAATTCATTAAAAGAATTTAAGATATTTGGAAGATGTAACCATTGCATGAAGTTTTAATCCGGGTTTTTGAAATGGTTTTAGTATTTTATAATGTTTTTATGGGAAAGTGATGACAAGTTATTTTAGAAAAGCTTGATTTTCTACTGAGGACTTTTATAGAGATTTTGTGAATGTCCAGAAGAGATGAAAAATTGCGATTATAGCATGAAGATGAAACAGAAGTTGTATTCATGTAAATCTTAAATGGCTCTCTGTGTTGGGGATTTGAGACTTGTGTTTCAAGCACTTTGGAAAACATTAATTCAGTTTTTTATTTATAACACAAAAGTAATTTGGAACAGTTGTGTTACATGGTCATTGAAGTGTAAGCGCTCTTGTTGTTTGCAGTCTGTGTTAAGTTTCTTGGAAAGACTAATGGTCATATATGTTGTAGATGTGTTCATGATCTGTACAAGCAAGTAAGTTCTGATTTGCACATGCTTAATTTAAAAAGCTTGTGTTAGGCAAGTGTAAAGACCATTGGGAATAAATGTTCCTTTATATGTCAGACAGCCAAGGAACTATAAAGCCATTTGATTGTACTTAAGAAATATGCTTAGTAAAATAGTGTCTGATTGATTTTAGGATCTATCTTACTTTAAGAATCACCTTCAGCATTTAAGACACTAATTTCTGTCATATAAGTACTGCTGAAAATGTTTTGTCATATCTGACGACAACAAAATTCTGACAGCAAATACAAGTAATCTGAATTTTCTTCTTCCTTAGTTAACAATCAGTAGAACTCTTTCACATCAATGTAATTTGATTTTATTCCAGCATTAGTCCTTTTCCTTTACTCTTGTCACCAGCCTGACTCCCCTCATTATGGTAGTGGGTTTTTTCTCATTATTTTTTGATTGCTTTGTCTCTGTTTTGCTGGGTTTTATTTCAGGGTTTTGTTTTGATTTTTGTTTCTTCTCCTTTTGGATATAGAGCAGGTTATAAAAATAAAACTCTTGCCCTTAGTTTGCATCTCCTTTTATCTGTCATGCTGGCTGCAGTCTCAGCAGGTAAATAACTCATCTTTTAAAGCAGAGACTATTTGTCACATTTCACTGTTTGAACAACTCCTGCTTCAGACTTTTCTTCATTATCTAGTTGTGCTTTCAGCCTCCTGTCTGAATACCAGCAATGCAGTGGGTACAGAGGATACTGAAGATCACCTTAAGCTTCTTCAGCAGTTTCTTCAGCTAAGTCTCCTCTGACCTCTTTGGTTGGAGTGCTGAGGAATGCGTCCTGACAAAAGTACAAGACATGGGATTGTTTTTTTTTCCCAAGTCCCCTGAGTTCCTCTTATTAAACTCCAGGTCTCCATCTCTTTATTTCTCGCCTTCAATTCTCCAAGTCTTTCTGTCATCTTTAGCATTTTTTTTAAGATGGCATCCACCTGTCTTATTTAGATTCACATACAGTGGGATATAATCTACTGTGGTAAAGTATCCTCAGATATGATTTTATGTCACTTCCATTTTCCTGCAGAGTCCAGTTTTCATGTCACCAGTTTCTGAAGAGGTTTTCTGTTCTGTAGATTAGCTTTTCAGTGGTTCAGGGAAGGGATATCGGGTGTCAATTACCAGTCTAGCTGTTAATGTACACTTCTGAGTTGTGAAACAGATCTTGTTTTCAGAATAGCCTTAAAAGACAGACTTTGGACAGAATGAATCATCATGTGAAAGTAAAATAACATTGGGAGAGGGAGAAGTGCTTGATGAAGAGAGACATGCACTGAAACCTGTATGAACTTTAAAAGAAGGCTTGTTGTTAATCGTATTTATCTTCTTTTTCTGGTTTCGCATTTGATAGCAAAACCAGTTTTTGCTTCCCTGTAGCAGTACTATATA